AAGCATAGGCCACTGTAATATATAATGTATCAATGTATGAGGGGTCTGTTGTGGTTTGACCTCTTTCTCTCACGATATCTTCGATCTTCTTGCCTGAAGACGTAGCTATCTTTAAAGTGCGGCCCACTAGGGCCTCCAGGTGTTCAGTCAATTCCGAGTGGGTGATGATTATTCTCTGAGTCTTGTTCTGTCTTCACCTCTCGGTCTGCTCATGATCTTCTCGGCCTTGCGTCGGAGGTGGGTGAGCATGGAGCGAGGATAATGGAGGTGTTGCAGACGTGTTGCATTTCCTCCTCCAAGAACTCAGGTCTTTGATCGTCTTACTATGGGCAGAAAAATAATGAATGAAATCATCTTTATTGGTGGGTTTTCTGTACACGGAAAATATCGGGCCATCAGCTCTTCTGTGGATCATGGTGTCCAGGAAACGGAGCTGTTCATTCCTTTCTTGTTCTGTGGTGAACTGTATGGAGGAGATCCGACAGGTTCGTCCTGGTTGGTACTACAGCGAGGATGTCGTCCAAGTAGCGGAGCCAGACCAAGTATCTTCCCACGATGCTTGGGTAGTGTTCAGCCTGGAGGGTCTCCATGAACAGCTGGGCAAGGACTGCTGAAAGTGCAGAAAAAAACCCTGTTCATCATCCTCGCGTCCTCTCAATTCAAACGGGCCAAACTCCACGCAGAGACAGATGAGTCTGATGTAATCGTCTATTTGCAGTGGTAATTCGCCCTCGTCCATTCTTGCCAATGGTCGTTCTGCAGCTTTGATGGCCCCGTCGTTCGTAAACAGGGACTTGACATCGAAGTTGACGAGCTTTCTACACCCCTACACCTTACAGTTTGGCCATCATGTCTGAGGTGTTTGATAGATGGCAACGCTGATGGAGTTTAAGGCGGCAGATAGAGGCGATGCGAGTTTCTTTGCTAGACGACCGTCTTAAACTCCATTAGCGGTTGCTATCTAGCTGACACCTCCGACATGATGGCCAAACTGCAAGAACTTGTGAAAAACTAAAATCTAACATGTCAGTGCTCTCTTCAGATGATACCATGCACTTTTGCTGTAATGCGATTAATAGAAATAGTGTATGTCTTAAGATGAACAAATATATTGCATTTCTTCTTGTTTATCTCTGGAGGCAAAGGCAACAGATGATCATAATCATTTGTTTACTCTTTTTTAATCTACAGTGTAATCATAGTTAAGGCTATTCACTGTATAAAAATTGTGAATGAAAGCATCAAGTTAAGGTTATTCACTGTGTGAATATTGAGAATGGTTAATGGTTAATGGTTTAAAAACAAAATGAATGTGCTAGACATCTGAGGTCATGGCGCATATAGGAAAGTAAAGGGTGATAGTTGCTGTGTCAACTATCTAGAGTAATCTTGAAAGGTTAAAGACGTATAAATGAGTTGATATGTGAATGGGCTATGGTGGGTCTAGGTAAGGGAATTACATATAGGTTTCACGTGTGTATCCAGGAGGGAGTGAAAGGGATAGAGGGGATGGAGGGAGGGAGAATGTAGTGTAGTTGGAGTTGAGGGGGTGGGTTGTGTTGGGAGGGAGTAGGAGGAAGTGGTGTGGGGGAATATGAGTAAGAGGAGGATGGGAGTCGGGAAGTTGGATATCGGTAATTGGAGTTGATGGGGATGGACTGTGCTGGGAGGGAGTAGGAGGGAGGGGGAATATGAGTAGGGAGGATGGATATCGTAGTACAGGAGGATGGATATCGGTAGTAGGCGGAAATGAGGGGGTTAGGTTGTGTTGAGAGGGAGTAGGAGGAAGGGGTGTTGGTGGAATATGAGTAGGAAGGGAATGGATATCGGCAGTCCCTTCGAGTGTGAAGGGAGCATGAGTTGTGGAATTTTGTGTCACAAGCATATAGCTCTGAATATCTTCCATAGTTTCTGCAGTGGAGTTGGTTGCAGAGTTCTGTGAGACGAAGGTTTTCTCATGAGGGGGAAGAGGAGACTGGTGTCTGAGGAATAAAGGCAAAGGTAGATGGAGGTGAGTGTGCGGTAGGGGAAGAAGGCGTGGAACGTTCAGTCTGACTAAACGTGGGGGAATGGTGTTAGCGCTGTAGTTGAGATTGGAGCTGTATTTGAGATTTGAGTGTCTGGATTTAGAGTGGCAAAAGAATTTGACTGGGGGAGGTAGAATGTAGAAGTGGGGAAGTAAGTAGGTATAGGGGGTGTAGGAACATCTTGGGGTGGAGGGGAAAGGGCAGAGCGAGCAACATTACTAGAACAGGGAGTATGAGAGAAACCTTGTCGGCGTGCATCCTGTCTGGCTTCACACAGAGTGAGGCCATTTATGTATGAGTTGCTACCTCAGACTCAAACTTGTAAGTGGGACAGCCTCTATAGAATACATTATGGGGGCCACCTCAGTTAGCACACCCCGTAGTAGTGATCGGTTATGACGGCACATAGGGGACATTGATCTGTGGAACGGCAGTGTTTGACAGGGTGGCCATTGACGGGGAGGAAGTTGGTATGGTCGAACAGGGAGGGATTGACCTCCAATGTAAATACGGAAGGGAAGGTCATGTGTACGGAAAGTAATTTTGGCAATATTGGTGGGTTTCTTTCTATGACCTCTAGGAGGAATGGAGTAGCAATGTACTGATATCACATCATGGTCTTAGGGCAGCCGAATAAGTATTCTTCACAATCTGACCAGTCGATATCCGTAGGGCAGCTTGCTGGGGAGATAGACACAGTTCCGCTACAAGTATTAAGAGTTGGATGATGTTCTGCAGGAGTGGGGTTGCCAGAGAGATCAGTTAGATTTGATAATGCTATAGCTTCGGTTTCACATGTGTCTGTTACGAGACGGAAACGATCGGGTCGGGTACGAAAAGGGACTCTGCCCTCTTGCTTTTGGAGGCATTGTTGAAAGAAAAGTGTTGCCTGAGTAAAGACCTGTAGGGGGGATCACGGAAAATCGGTCCCATTTAGCTGGGTTGGTGGTGGTAGAAGGACGGGGACATGTGGAAGAGGGAGTGTTGTTGAGGGGGGTAGTATTACGGAAAAATGGAGAATAAGGCTGTGAGGTAGTAATGAGGGACGATGGGGTGTTTGACGAAGAAGGTTGTAGTGGTAGAAGTGATGAAGTTGATGAAGTTGGGAGAGTAGGAATGTCTTCTGGAGATTGAGTCTCAGCTTGGGTGGGTAATGCACCAGTAGGTATTGAGGAGTGGGTAGTAGTTTCAGTGTTCAGAGTCGTGGTCAAAGGAGTCTGGGGAGTTTGAATTGGTGGGGCTATTTGATGAAGGGACAAGCCTCGTTGCCCCTAATAAGGGTATTACATTTTCATTACTGTCCATGGGAAGCTTTGACTATGTTGGGGAAATAAACAGTAAGGGCTAGAAAACTAAAAACAGGGGAATACAGTGCCCATGGTTCCCTTTGGCCGTTCAGGACTGGCAAAAAGTCAGCCTTTCAGAAAGAGGTTGGAGAAGGGATGGAAACAAAAAAAAAAAAAAAAAAAAAAAAAAAAAAAAAAAAAAAACTGGAGGGAGAAAAGGCCATGCAAAATTAGTTGAGTCGAGGGCAGAGGCCCTAGGCAGGGGAGATCCCTGCATTGGGTCTCAGTATCCGTCTCCTAAGCCTCCTCCCCCCCCCACGACAACAGCGGGCAAGGGATTGGGGGCCCATACATTCAAGAAATATTCAATTGAATGCATTCACAGAGAGGTCTAAATAAGGTTATATTAACCTGCAACGTGACTACTCAGTGCACCTAAACAGACCACACATCTCGATTATGTGGCTTGAGGAGAGGAATGAATGACATCTTGTTTATGAATGAGATAAAAGGAGTGTGCATGATGACTAAGCAGGTTTCAAGATGACTAGAACCTATTTCCTTAATTGTGAGAGCATGACAAAATTGTGACTTGTATCCTTCAAGGTTTTCTCTGAAAGAAATGTTTAAATTTTCCAGGTAGACTGTATAGAATATATTCAATATGTCTATATAATTACCCTTACTGGAAAATTTAACGTACATTCAATTTTTAAGCTTGCATACAGAAAACAATATAACCAACTAAGTGTTTACATGAAATCGAAGATCATTTTGAAAAATCATACCTTTTAATAAACCTTGGTAGTGTTTCTAAGCCAAGCTAAACATTCTTGCACAAGATTCATGTCATCATTGTAAACACATCTAATTTTCTTTCTACTATGTAACATATTCATCTGGAATACTTATTTAATTATTGAAAAATTTCTGCAGCATCAAGTTCTAAGGTCATTGGCAGCATATTCAAAATATAGCAATAGGGTGTGACTTAGGGATGAAGCCCAAGCTCATATAGAATTGTGAAGTATGGTAGCAAAAAGGATACAAGAGTTGACATTTGGACAAAATATGATGGATATCAAAGGTTGTAGAATGCTGTTGGTTTGAATAGTGAAAAGGGTAGAGGAAATTGCAAATGGAGTATGAAAGCCATTCAATGCAGACATAGCCAGTCCTTCCAACTTTCAGCACAGCTCTCATGCTTGAGGCTGTGGACAGAGGAAAACACGAGAAGGAAAAGGAAAGAAGAAAAATAACATGCTAAGTTAGTTGAGACGAGGGTTAAGGGCCAAGGCAGGGATAGTCCTCTTCACTGAGCTTCAGTCTCCATCCCCTAAGCCCTCCCCCACGTCAACAAAGAGTATGGGATTAGTCCGTTATCTGGTATAATTAAGACTGACATTGATTATCTAAAACTGATCAAGATTTACATTCCTGAATCTGACAATTTTCCAAACATTATTAAAAGTCTAGATTTCTTACTTTTGATAAATTTGATATAAAAGTCTGAAGTTGATGTTTTCTATATAAAAGATTTTATATGATTGCCTAGTGTTGTATGCGCTTTATTTGTATATTTTCAAACTTCTTCCTGAAGTAGACAGACAATTGTGCCAATATTCATTTACATAAAAAATACAACTGAAAAGGTTAAAATATTGATAGTGGAATATCAAAACTATGATAACTTTTAAATATTTATTAAGAAAACTACATAGCAGATTTTATCATCACAGGTGTGTACTCCCTGATACACAACTCCTCCTGTTCAAATTTCCTGGATCAGACATTTCATTTCTAGAAACGTACCTATGAAGCCTTGCAAGATGTTGGCCGACAAAAAGGCTCAAGAAAACCCTTTAATGCAATGGGTAAACTCTTAACGGGAGACCAATCCTTTCACCTGGTGGGGAGAGGTACAACTATTGCTCCCACACAACCTTGTAGCTAATGAGCCTTTCCCCCCAAATGAGGCAGCAAATGTAAATGCACGTACGAACACATTAACACTTACAGGTAAGAAAAATGAACAGCGAAGATTCACACTCCTAGATGCTATGACACAAGACAATTCTTATACAAAAATAAAAAGCCCTAACCTGTTTGTCACATGAAGGGAGCAGGTCAATTAGAAAAAATTCACTCCTAGGAAAAGGTTGCACAGCTAAATAGTGAAATTCTTTTTATCATTCTTTCAAGAAATCTAGTGTTCTTAAATGGTGATGAAGACGAGTAAACAAATTTCCTATGGGGTTTTTGCTTTTCTTTTAAGAACATAGTGCTCTCTGTATAAAAAACTCCCACACAACAAAACCTGGTGCTCACATTCAGAAGTATTGCTTGTTGTATGTTTTGAGAGCACTAACCCACAAGAAAGAGGGAAAGAAATTATTTAGGGTAAACATTAACTGTGGCTTCATGATCTTTTACATTATTCACTCTTTAGACAAGAGGGAAGGAGGCGGAGGAGGCAATGCCACACTGGTTGTCGTGATTGCGGGCCATCTTAACGTAGCCCTCATCACCCCAGGTTGTACCCCATGAGTTCTTGACCAGCCAGTAATCTGTGCCGTCATCGTCAATGCCGTAGCCAACAACAAGAACACCGTGGTCAAGCATCTCAGGGGAGCACTCTGGTTCAATGTACACACCTGTAGGGAATATAGAGTTTAGGATTTGTCCCTACATAAGCCAAATGCAATGAAACAATATTGCCTGGTCTTCAAATATGAAATTAGATATCGTTACACTAGGTCCCCACTATGGTAAAATTCTAAGTAATTTATGCCATTTTCTACCCTTCTAACTTACTACAGTTTTGTCCATAGCAAATAGATTTGAGAACAGTTTTTTAATCAAATGGCCCTATTCATCCCTGAATTTTATCTCACATATAGTTAACTTCGTCACAGGAGTTTAGAGCGACTCATTTTACACACTAGAAAAAGGTGTCTCTTGCTATGTCAAATGGTTGCTAAGATCACCAAAGTTTAGAATAATTAATGCAAGGTAAGGCATAGATAAATTGACTGAATCTATCCTTATACATTTAATAGTAACAATTATGATGGGCTAGCTCTACTTCCAACAGTTATTAGGTGTTAACAGTCTAAGCTACATTAGACAGAAATGAAAAGAGAAGAAAAAGCTAAAAGGAAAAGTACAGAGAAAAGAGATGGGTACTAACTAAAATTGTAATAATAGTAATAGTAATAGCAATAATAATAATAATAAAAAATAATAAATATATATCAATATCAATAATGGAAAGAAAAAGAGAGAAGAAGAAAAAAAAAAAAGGGTCCTACCATGGCTGTAGAACTGGAATGACTCATGAGATGCATCAATAGCCACAGATACTGGGCCAACGGTAGCAACAGCCTTCTTCAGTGCATGTTCACTTCCCTCACGCACATCAACGAAGCCCTTATCCTCAGCACCAGCAGAACGGGGGTTGTAATGGCACTTCTCATCCTGTTAAGAGTTTACAGTTAGCATCTTGGAAGTACTGTGGCTCTTGTCTAGGTGATTTTTGTAATATTTCAGTTTTTGAGAAGCTTCAAGAAATTACAAGAAATTAGAGAATATAGTTTAAAATTTCTATACTGTACCATTTCAAAGTTTCCACTTTGTTGCACAAAATAAATGAGGAAAGTTTTGAAAGCCCTTCAAAGAAGCATCCCTCCATTCTGTTCCTTACCTCTCCATCATATGGGTAGCTGTCCTCAGTGTCAATGCCACCATTCTCCTTGACGTACTCAAAGGCGTTGTCCATGAGTCCACCGTTGCAGCCATTGTTTCCAAACTTGCGTGAGCAGTCCACCAGGTTTTGCTCTGAGAGGCTCACCAGCTGACCAGTCTTGCGGAACGTCTGACCCTCCAATGCACCAGTCTGAAAAGCAATTGGTGGGGATTAGGTACCAGTCGGGGAATGGTTTTTCACATCATTACAAAAAGTATTTATTTGGATGATAATGATAACAATAAGTATAAATAATAAAAGAATATATATATGAATAATAATAAAAAAAAAGAAGAAAAAAAAAATCTTCACATTACAAGAAATGCATCTGACCAGTTTCAGTTGTATAAATATATGCATTTTCACTCAAAACCAGTTGAATACACTTCAAGTATTATGACACATTCTTTTTTCTGCACTGGTCATAATGAACACTATTCAACAACAACAAAAAAATGTGTAATGGAATTTATAGGAAAAAAATATGCACAAACCCTAAAAACCAGTGCAACTCTCAAAAAACTCACAGCAGAAAAGGCCCAGCAAGAGCCACACTGGCCCTGGTCCTTGATAGGTGTGACGGCTCCCTTGGTTCTCCAGTCGACATTCTTGGGCAGCTGCACATCATCATCAGGCTCAATGAAGGTGGCTCCTGTGTATTCGCGGTTGCTCTTGTAACCCCCAGTGTGGTTTCCACGGAATCCGTTCATGGTTGCGACGAACTCATGGTGGAGCTGCAGAGGAAGGAAGGTGGTGAAATAAATTTGTTAGCTCCTGGTCATCACTTCTGCATTGAGACTGATATTCTAGTTTTTAGTCAAGTTATTTCACAGTATATATATAAACCAAACAATACAGGCCTCTACCATACACTACACTCACCATATCTCCATATTTGTTCATTTCGAGTTTGTAAGTATGGTGCCCCATAGCAAAGCCCTTGTTGTGCTTGGCAATCTTGTGCTTGTTCTCTGTGAAGATCTTCATGCGGAATGACTCCTCGACCTCTGAGTCATACTTCTTGCCATGTTCAAGCTGTCAGAAAATGAAACATGGATAAATGAATTCAACTGAAAAAGACATTTCCACTTCACCTGAATGCAAGGGAATGTGAAATGAAATAGCCTTTCTAATAATAGATTATATATAAAATACCAAATAATTAGAAACACATGGGCATTTGACAGTGTGATTATATAATGAGTGAATATCAACTGATTACTAAGTGTAGATTCAATGACAAAAATAAGACTAATTACCTTGAAAGACTCCCATTCCTCCAGAACAACAGAGAAAAAGGACACGGCCGATGTGGATGCCACAACGGCCACAAGCACTGCTACACTCAAGAATTTCATCTGAAAAAATCACAAAATATTAATATTCAATTTTGATATCAACTAAAAGTACCACAGGCATACACAAAAGGAATTATGGATATAATTATGTACATATGCACAAGTGTGCAAGAGTAAAGCATGAAGTTTCTTGCCTAAAATTTGGAATTTAGATTACAATTATATTACAGCAAAAACAATCCTAAATTTGCTTTGCAAAATGAGGACCTTTAATGGTACTACAAAAACAATACAATAGTCAAAGCATGCATAGCAAGGTTATGAAAGACAAATTCTGAATACCAATACTAGGAGGAATATATGAATGTGCACACAAGGTTCAAATTGCTTCCTTGTAAGTGCTGGGTGCAAAATGGTCAAGGCTTTTTTGGCTTCTTTGTTGCTCTGGGCAACAAACTTTAATCAAATTAAATCATAATCATGTTATGAATATTGCAATAATAATTATCATTTCATCATAAAAATGTGTATGTACACACACACACACACACACACACACACACACACACACACACACACACACACACACACACACACACACACACACACACACACACACAAAATAACTAGGTCATTACTGCAGATTTCATAAACAGCATTAAAAAGTCTAGCAAATAAATCACAATTATACTATACAGGGTGTAGTCGTTGGGGATGTGCAAAGGCAACCTGAACTTATTGGAAAGTTCAGTGGTGTTGTTAAACCTGGTATACACGTACCCTTGGGGGTTTGTGGCATTTTACAGGGATATAGCAAATGAGTGGTGATATATGGATGGAGAAAGACACAAAAGGTTTGGCCAGAAAAGGTCTACTGAACCCCATGAATCATATAATGAAGCTCAAAGGAAAGACGAAGATAAAGAAAAGAGAAGAAGACTGGGCATACATTACACAAGCAAATATTGATCATTTCTATGGTATTCACTGCAATCTCTGTATATCAGGTTTTCTATTAAGGGAATACAAAAATGGTACTGTACACTAGACTGCCAAGTATCAGTCAGTACAGATCAATGAAGCTCCACCCTACAAAAAGGCACTTATCCTGTTGGTGCTCTGGCAATGGCCAATACAGCTCCAAAACACACTTTCTGACTTGAAGCTCTAGCAGACCTGCCCAGGTAATCGTTTCTATAATGATTAATCAAAACTTTACCTATCCTAAATGTGTGTGGGAGTTGGCTTTATTTTTTATTTATCTTATTTTTTTATTTTTATTTTCTGAAAAGTCCATCACAAAAGTTCAAGACTGCCACACTCCTAGGGATCAAAGCCAGTTTAAAGTATACTTAAAAAGACAATGGCATATGATGAAAAAGGATTACAGAAACAAAGTGGGAGCCATCTATTCCATTTCAACATTTAGTAACATTCTAACTACATAATCCTATCATCAACCAATTCATCCAGACTTCTAGAATCACTCCTGCTTTAAAAAATCCCTCAAAGTAGTCATATCCACATGGACTAAAACAAGACACGTTTCTCAGAATTACACAACTGAACGACAAGAAGTGATGGCCATTTAACCCTCCCCTAATAATTTTCATACAGATTCAAACAAGCTGCCTATGTAACTCACATTCATAACCCAGATAATCATTGTGTATTAACCAAATAGTTCAATCTGACTGGGTTATGGGACTGGCAACATACTTTCTCTTTGTTACTTTCTTTATCAGCCAATTTTGGTCAATCTAAAAACTGGCTGGGAAATGTGTACTGAAAATGCCACGTTACAGAAAAGGGATGGAACAGTATGACATGAAAACCTTTGTCTTTTAATGGATTTAGATAAGTCTTTGGAAAAACAAGCTGACAGCCGATATAAACAATGTTTGATAAGGATTCCATGCGTCAACAGAAAAATAACAATATTATGATTTACCGACTTCCCGTCCATAAAATATTCATCATTGATATTCAAAAGCACGAGTGTAACCCTGTTTATAACGAAAGGAAAGAAAACATTGAATACAAGTACGTGAAAACGGCCCATAGCAACACAAACGATTAAAAAAAAAAAAAAAAAAAAAAAAAAATGAAAACTCGTTTGACCTCTCCCACACTTCAAAACTTGGGCATCGGGCACTTTCTTGGGGTACTATTTACATGAAAGAATATCTGAGAACTTTCGGAGTTTTGATATTAACAATAAAGTCAATTTAGAAGAAGGAAAATGCTCATGTGTTGAAGTGACGCTAATGACCTACAAATGTCACTGGAGTTCGGTTTTTCCTGGTTTCATTTGACCGATTTTGTATCTCGGGCGTTCTATATACGATTGATTTCCCCTCAGTATGTTATTTGAGGTCTTATTCGTGGTGTTTGGCACAAAGAAGAATCTGCAAATTATGACGTTCTTTGATGCGCACTTCCTTGCTGACGCAGTGTCGTTTTGTTATATATCAAATGACTGACTTTGATTATTTCTTCGGGAACCTCTAGTGGAGTATCTATACTACATAATTAACACCATTATCGAATTATTGGTAAGTTATTAGAACAAAGAGTATTTCGATGTAAAGTAGTATGTACCTCACCTTCTAATGTTTACCCCGGACTGCCACAAGCATTCGAGTTTTCCTGTATTTATACTCTGGCGGAACTAGTCGTACTGCAACCTAAAACTCGAAACAAAATGGACCCTATCTAAATCAGATCATACTAAAGAACAATATATGAATTCTTCGGCTTCCAAAACCCTAACCATAATAACCTATATCGTTTTCACTTGTTCAATTAACGAGAAAAATCTTGTACGCCTGGCATGGGGGAATCACGGCTGTGGGCTGAGTCACATATTCACATGACTTTTCTAGAGGATTTTCTGTATAATTCTTGTTCATGACGGATGTTATGCATTTAGTTATTGTTCTTTGTGAGATTATCTACACGTTGTTGAAATTAATTTGTTTTGGTTACGTTTTCTTCCATAAAATTGATCGGTCAATAAACTTGGTATTTAGGTACTCTGTAGAAACCGTTATCTACAAAGGACCACATTTTTTCTTTCTTTCTGTACCGGTAGACATGGAAAGATATGATAAAGGAAGCATTCCTGTTTCTCGCAAAAGGCTTTGTGGTGTTGCATGTTGAAATGAGAGAGAGAGAGAACTCTTCTCTCTCTCTCTCTCTCTCTCTCTCTCTCTCTCTCTCTCTCTCTCTCTCTCTCTCTCTCTCTCTCTCTCTCTCTCTCTCTCCTCTCTCTCTATCTATCTGTCTATGTCTCTATCTATCTATCTATTTATCTATCTGTCTATTTATCTGTCTGTCTGTCTATCTATCTACCTACCTTTCTATCTATCTACTTATTTGTCTATTTATCTACTTATCAATTTAACTATCTGTCTCTCTTCTATCGCCATTTTAACACGGTTTTACAACATGTACAGTGACATCCATGGACTTCACCAAAGTGAAGATCTCTCGATGACTCTTGAAAAACACATCCGGCGTGGGTTGCACTTCTGTGTATCCAGTAGCACATACATTCACAGATAGACGGACAAGCACACACACATACAAACGCACGCACACGCACACGCACACGCACACGCACACACATGCACACACACAACACACATATATGTATAATATGTGTTATATACATTAATATATTTATTTATTTAGAGAGAGAGAGAGAGAGAGAGAGAGAGAGAGAGAGAGAGAGAGAGAGAGAGAGAGAGAGAGAGAGAGAGAGAGAGAGAGAGAGAGAGAGAGAAGAAGAGATAAGAGAAGAGAAATAGGAAGCTGTGGGAAACATCACTGAAAGAACGCCATAGGGAGGTAAACTATATGACCGAGGGTGGAGAGAAGAAAATACGAAACAAAACATGAGAAAATAGTACAAGATAATGCTGGATGGAGAATACTATTTTCCTTTGCCAAAATCAATCAATCTTTTTTTTCTACAGGAATGTAAATATGCGTTATGCCTCCATTAAAACATATATAACACCATCTTTCTCTAAACGCCATGGTCTAAAGGTACGAGATATTACACCATGCTTGTGCCGGTTGCATGGTGGAATCAAGCTAGGTTAGGTTTCCAGAAATCCAAATGTGAAAGTTTTCCTATTTCTGCCTCTGAAGCTGAATGGCCACTTCTTCTCCTGCAATTTCCAGCATGATGTCAAAGATATCTGAACGAAAAGTCTGATTTGTGTAGCGTTTTTCTGACATGTAGATATTTAGTATCAATTTGAAGTTTGGGTTTGTGTGAATATCTCAAGTATGACCTTGATTTACGATTTTTTCTTTCTTTTTTTGTCTTCTAGTTTTCCCTGAAGACAATTGAGATACCAACAGAATCAGTTTAATTCTAATTCATATTTGATGTAAAACACAACAATGAGAAAGGAAATGAAAAAAAAACAAAAAAACTTTGGGATGCTTCGAATGAAATCCTCAAAATGTTGCTCCATTTTTATTATTATTATTATTTTGCGTGGCTCTAATCTATTATTATGATTCCCATCTCTCCATCCTTACCTATATCATTTCATTCACATATGTAAAATATCATTATCGCATTCCTCTTCTGAAAAAAACAACCTTTTTTCAACAGTTATAAAATTCGCGTGACAGCAACTCTGACCGGCATAGCCAAAGTGCCGGCGGACCTGAAGCTGCCGTGTCTTTCAATGACCGCCACGAGCAGGCAAGTGGCTCGAGTGTGACGCAGTTGTGGTGGAGATGCAAGGAACGTTGGCGAATGTGTTGGGGGGAAACGGTAGGTCATTTGTGGAATAGAAAGGAGAGTGGAGAGAGATACAAGGTATAGAAGTAGGAAGGAGGGAGAAGGAGGAAGAGTGGGGAAGGAAGGCAGGGAGAGGAGGGAAAGCATAAGAATGAAGACGATGGGGAGAAGAGAAAATAGAGGGAGAGAAGTAGGAGTGTATGTATTATAATTGTGATACATAGAAGATTTAATAAGCGTCAAGATTGAGAGAGAGAGAGAGAGAGAGAGAGAGAGAGAGAGAGAGAGAGAGAGAGAGAGAGAGAGAGAGAGAGAGAGAGAGAGAGAGAGAGAGAGAGAGAGAGAGAGAGAGAGAGAGAGAGAGAGAGTACTGATAGAGACAAAACAAAAGGACATAGTCCAAATGCTTCAGGACAAGATAGCACGAAAGTAAAGGAAATGAGATAAACCACGAAAAAAACTCACGCACATAGAACCAAAATGACTCAAAACATTTCGTAAGGGCCTTCAAAAAGGTTGGAAGGACAGAGAAAGGAAGTCACATGATACAGAATCGAACGCGCCCGAAAGCAGTTTGCATCACTCGCCGCTTTTTGCATTTCACTGTTTTTATTAATATTATTTCTATATCTACTTATTTGTTTGTCTGTTGATTTTTAAAATTTGTTTATTGCTATTTCGACTTTCATATTTTGCTCTCCTTTTTATGATCTTTTTTGCCCGTCTGAGTTCTCTTAAAGGTGATTTGATTTTTTATTTTATCATTATGCTTCGTAAATTGTGTTTTTTTATTGCTGTTACGCCTGATTTAATTCCATTTTCATTTCCTTTCATTCGCGAACTTACCCATTCCTTTATTTTTTTCGTTTGTGATTTTATTTGAGTTTATTCGTACTTTTGAATTGTTTAAATTCGTTTAAAATTTCATGATCTTGTTTTTGGCTTTATTAATGACTGAAAAGTTGTGTTAGAGGTTACGAGAAGAACAAAACAAGGAAATTACAATAAAGTTATTTAGTGTTCGCGAGAGCGTGTGGGAACGAACATCTCGCTTCACATCTCAAAGTCATTCTAGAAAAAAAAGAAAGTGAAGAGGTTATCGTACAGTAGATGCATTTTGGTCTAAATCTTGAGAAGTTGCAAGGCTGAAAATCTTAATGTGGCTTAGGTGAGTTTGGAGCTGATGCTAACCTTGAACTTCTTGGGGAAACAGCTTCCTTGCCTGTATTGCAACACTATATTGCAGTGTTTGTTTATTATATATTTATTGACTTTATTGCTGGTCGTTTGACTTTATCTGTCTATTATATGTTGACTATCGATGGGCATTTGGTTTTATTTATTTATTATTTTGATTTATCATTTATTGACTTTTAGCGATGGGTATTTGAGTGCATTGCAACACTGATCGGCAATTGGCTTCCTCTTCCGAGAACTGTGATATAAAAAAAAGTTTTTTCCGTTTCCCACCACCCACCTCTTCATTTTTTTATTGATTGACAAGACAATTACATAACAGTCGAAAAACAATTATTTAATTAACCAACGAATAATTACCCCCCCCATAAATCATTCAAAATTATTTTCCTTTTTTGTCCCCTTTCCTCCTATAACAGACTCTTCTTTTTTCTAAATTGAGCAGAAAAAAAAATTGCATTAACCTCATAAATCCATCCATTAGACAATAGACGAAAATAATATCCACAACTGCCCATTACGGGGAGGTAAAAATAACAGCCAGGAGAACTTCACGTGTTGCTGTTCCATCCACGCCACGCAACAGGATCGGCTTCTCTGTTGTCATGGAAACCAGACACCAGCTGAGGGGCGTGTGTTTTGCGGTACCTGAGATGTGTTGGAGGTTCATTTCCTCACATGA